ACCCCGGGCGCGGCTGCCCTCGCCCGCGGCGGGAGCAGGGCGGGGGGGGCCCGGTTCCAGCCCCTCCTGCTGCCTCCGGGGGAAGCGCCGCTGTCTGGAGAAGCGGCCTTTACCTCTAGCCTGCCTCGCCCACGCTGTGAACCAAGCAAAATATGCATGTATAATATAGAAAACAATAGAAACGGGAATAACTGTCCTTAACTTACACTGAACGCCTCAGCCACCGCTGCCCGCTGCTCCGTGATGAAGAGGAAGCTTGTGGCCAGCGGTGACACAGCAGGCAGGAGCTGTTGAAGTGCTCCAGCTCCTAACGGGAACACGTCTCTACAGCTAAATGAAACAAAAAGCAGCTATTAAAAGTGCTGGTCTTCAAGGCTTCTACTTCAGAAATCAGAAACAAGACAGCTCTTATTCGCATGGCTTTCCCAGGCCCTTAGCCCCCCGCCAAAATGGTGTCTGGTGAGGGAATCATCTAACTCCAGGCAAGCTAAACTGAAACTAAAGCACCTGCCCAAAAACCCAGAACCAGAAGAAGGCTCACGAGCAGCTACAAGCAATAAACACTCCACAATTAAACGTTTTCATGCTGTTGACTTCTGATCTTGAGACTTTTTACATGGTAACACACGGATCTATGAAAACAACCCTTACGCTGCCTACACTATAGTGACTCTATGGGTACAAAATCACGAGAAAGCCAAGTATTTCACTTTGTGTGGGTTAGGCCCGTTTCCCAGTGGATGCAGCGAGACAGGTGAGGAGGTACCACCAACCCTGTGTCCTCCCCTCCACCACCCCCTCCACCACATCCAAGCACCCTGCACAGGAAAAACCAGCCGCCCCTTCCCAAAGGAAAACCGGACCAAAGGAAAACTGGTCAGCTGATCAAGCTAAGCCACACTGGTAATTTGCATAAGGCATAATACTACTTTAAATATAAATGCAGAAGAGTAACAAAGTAATCAAGCATCCCAATTCAGCTGTTGCTATCGGTATTACAGAAAGCCTTAAGTCTGAGAACGCATTAAAGAACGATCACGTACACACACACACACCCTGCATGTGCCAAAGTTTATTTTTTTTCCAAAACTTGTTTCATCAAATAATTGGATATGAGCAGTTTTTAAAAAACAAACAGTTTGTGTATTAACAAATTGTGACATTCCACAATTAAAATATCAACACAGCCAGTCTTGTGCTTAGGCTTCTTTTTAAAAAATTATTAATTCGTAGAGCATAAACCTTCAAAATTTTTTTTCCAGTTTGTGGCTAGTATATTTTCCACACATTCTGTATTCTTATAAAATGAAGGAACTCATGTAAAGGAACAGCTGTACAAGAATACATCCGAAAAAAAGCCTGAACAACCTAAATTATAGTAGCTCCTTTTAAATAAATATCCAATAAAAGGCACAAACCTGTTACGGGGAAAAAACATAACATACAAAACAAGACCTATTAAATAAATAATGTGAAGTGTGGGTTGGGGCGAGGGAAATCTGTTCCAGCACCTGTTTTGTCATTGCTCCAAGATGAAATTCCAGCCAAACATTTGGTAAACGATTAAACTTAATCACAAGGATACACGTTTGAGAGATACTGAAAGATTTGTTGTTACAATTCCTGTTGTAACTGTACCAGTTACTACAATCTCTTTAAATAAATGATCATGAGAGTCTGCGTAGTGATGCAGTGATGCATATATCAAAGACAAGTCAAATACATCTTCAGAGTCATAGCAACAGGTTTTCTATATTCCTAGCTATCAGTAATATATAAATGATAACATGTACACTTTCCATTGCTCAAAAATATAATCTTTTAAATGGAAATAAATGACTGATACACAGTGCCTTTAGATGTTGTCCTTACAATACAAACTACTCAAAACAAAGTTTTCCTTTTTATGTACAAATTAAGCACCGATCCACAGTGCATACTATTCTAATTGTAACCCCACCCTCCCTGCCACACATCAAAAAACCCAGATGCAGATACACCCTGTATTCATCTTGCAGTCGGAAGTTTTTTAGGTTTTTTTTTTTGTGTGGGTTTTTTTTTTAAACAAAAGTCCATTTGTTATTTTCACCTACAAGTATTCCACCACTATGCGCACAGAACTGAGATTTCTCTAGTACATGTGTCCAAAATTAAAAAAAAAATTCAATTCAGTAACTTCTTGGAGGCAAAGTCAAACTATATCTAAAGCACATTAGAAAACCCCAGTCATTTAAAAAGAGGTACACTTTCAAGTCCGACAGGCCTAGCACAATCAACCTTTCCAAATTCCCCCAGAAGTTATCTTACGCTGTATCCCATGAAAGACAGCCTCCTTGTAGCAGCATGAAGTCCCAACAGTTAGGCTTGATTGACCCACTGAAGTACAATAATGCAAAGCCCACAGCATACTTCAAGTCTCCTCCTTGTTCAGACAAACATGGAGTGACATCCTAGTTATCTGCTTTCTGAAGTATTCAGAACAGGATTCCGATCAAATGAGTTGGAAGGAAATAAAAGGCAAAGTCATTTATATACACCTCTCTTCAGTGTTTTACTCATCACAACTACTATTCGCAACTCTTGCGGGCTATTAGTTACACGCAAGAACAACCTTTGTCTTTGAAGTGTTTGGTTTTTTTGGAGAACAAGTTCTGAGCCATAAATCCTTGACAGCATCCTTGTTTTTTCCTTCTAATGTATGAACTATGTTATTTAAAACACAGTACTCTGCCATTTTATGCGTTCCAACATGTGCACAAGGAAGAGGCTGACAAAAAGCAGTCCTGTGCACTTCTGTGCAGAGAGAAGTGTGTAAAGCAATCTTTTCTTCATAAGGATAAACCTGAAAGCCGTGTTTTCATCTATCAAACATTCTGAACGAGACTAAAAAGAAGGTAGCTTATAAAGTTTTTAGGATGTACTTTGTGGCTGTTTCTCCTTTTTTACCACTAAATAAATTGGTATCAGACAGCTTTGCTACAAGAAAGCATACTAAAGAACCATTAAAAAATCCAGCGCAAATCAGAAGTAGTGCAAACTACACCTAGTACTAAATCCATTTCTGAGCAAAGTACATTCCAGATCATCAGAATGCTCTGCAATAAAGTTATAACAAATATATACTGTTTGCCAGGCATTTATTTGCATATTTTATTAAAATAATGGATTATTACTTATACAACTCAGTACGAGAAAGAGATCCAACAGCTTGCAGTGCTAGAAACTGCCTGATTGTAGCACTCTCAGCTCTGTCATTAATGCCCAGACATTTATTACTCCATGTACTGGTCTCATTTGAACTCAAGACTTTTCAACACTGAATAAATCAATGGAATTCACTATTTCTTAAATAAACAGTCCCCTCAACACAATGACCCATTCTAAATGGCATCTATTCCCTCGTCACGTGGAGGGTAACTATAGGCACTGAAGAACTCATTGGCTTAAAATTGTACAGTTGTTCAACGCAATAGAGGTGGATTAAAGCTTGAAGCCCTTTGTAATTCAAACGTGAACATTAAATTGCTATATACTGGTCCAAATTCTTTTAAAATCAATACACATTCAGAAACGCCGAGTTTTAAATTTCTGCAAGATTACATTTCCCAGGAAGTTAAGTGGTTACAGATTCCAAGGGTTGGGGGGTGGTTTTTTATTTTGTCTCTTAAGTTGTTTCACTTGGCAAAAATATTTCCACAGGGTTAATAAATACTACTTTTGCACTCTTTGGACAGAAGTAAGCATTCAGGAAAAGAGAAGGCTTGTTCCCACTATGAGGAAAATGCTGTATTTTAGAAGTTCTCTACAGGACAGTTTGACAAGGTTCTCAGGCCTATTTGCATTTACAGTGAGAGTCAGAGATATTTCTGCAATTACAGACTCCCCAAAAAAGATAAAAGATGTGCTACTCTGGACGTCTATTCATTGTAATGATAGAAAACTATTCATTTTTTGAAAACCCAGCTTTAATATTAATCATTAGTAGAAGTCATTTTACAGGAGAGTTTTTCATTGTATTCTGCCACAAAACTTCTGGAAGAAAGGTTGCTCCCAATTCCATTTACTTGTTATTAACTACTTTTTTTTTTTAATGCTATCACTTTTTATTAGACATTGAAAAATACAAGATAAGGCATTTTCATAGCCAATTTCAGTTTTGGAGGAAGATTGTTAAATACAAAAGATGTGCCAGAAGTCTGTACGCATCTGACCCATCGTGAATAGCATACTTCATAAATTAGTTGATTTAAAAGATTTTCCTCTCAAAAAGAGTCTAGATTTCTTAACATAGCATTTTTACCTTGAAATTACTACATAAGAAAAAGATTACTGCAGCATTAAAGAAAAGATTATCTAAAAGTTTGCACATATTTACACATTTAAAAATAATTTTATATGGTTTACAACTAGGTTCTTATTTCAGAAAAGCAGCACAAGCTATTCTCTACAGCTGGATAATTTCAATATAGTTACCAGTTCACAAGTGTCAGCACTATTGCAAAGTTTGCTTCTTTTGACCTAATGGACTTATTAAAAAAAAAATTGGATCTCTTGCCTCTTTTGCAGTTAGCAACAAGATTGCTTCCATTTGCTGCTATAGGGGATACCAACATTCACTGGCTCCCAAAGCTGCTCCTCCTTGAGCTATGAAAAATGCTACCTGCAGAGAAGATACTCGATGGAAGTGCAGCTACTGTCTGTCACCTGTCGGAGGCTGCACATGGTGTTCTGTAACACGCTTGTTTCCTCTACTCCATCACAGACTTTCAGCCCGTGTCAGAGCCTGGCTCTTTCAACTAGCCATGTAACACTGACATACCAACGGAGCAATTTATTATTTTTACTATATATTTATATATATACACGTAATGTGTATGTATCTTGTTGATTCACAGCATTTCAAACTCACATTATAACATTTGCAAATTACTATAAGCTATTCTAATGTAAAAAAGCTGTCTGATTTCACACAATATTGGCCTTACGATAATGCAAGCATTGCTCTATCAGAGTATTTATTAGAGCACATAAAAATTTTATTGCTCAACTTCATTTGTGTTGTGTCTTGGTTACAACAGCCACAGAATTTATGGAGAAAATAAATAGCTTTGACCTCCTCAGTTAACTTCCTAAGGTAATCCACTGATGAATAAGGTTGTAGAGCAATCATGTAACCCCCTCTTCTCAGCTTTGAAGATGATAATCCAGCTTGCACCTTCTGAATCAACCTCAATAAAATCAGTTTTCTGCTGAGCAGTTTTTAAAAAAAAAAAATAAAAAAAATCAGTGAACAAACATGACTTCACACTGCAGTGACTGTTATAAACAAGAATCTCTAAAGCATTGCAATTGAAAATAATATTGTATTATACAGGGACGAAACAGTTGCCCTGTTCAGGAATACATCATGGAAAGATTGAAATTCAGTCTTTTTTTTTACCAGTATTTGGTTGTTCTCACATCCTGCTGCTTTGGCGGCTCTACATAAACTGTATCTGTGAAGTAGAGATTACATATTAATGCCACTTACATAACACATGGTTTCTCAGTGTTTTGGAATTATGAATCTGTTCAACTGCCTTGTTACTTGCAAGTTAAGACTACGGGTTTTGGCACTTCAAAAAAATCCCCAAAGAATGTTACGACCAACATATTTGGATGATGAGTATGCAGTTTTTTCCAACTTGAATGATCTCTTCTCCATGCCTTTTTCACTTCCCCACCACCTGATCCTTCAGAAACCTTTCACCACTGCTCTACTCAGTATGACCAAACCAAGTATCCAGCTAATGTCATAGGAAGTCTAAATTCTACGCATCTTCACCACTCCCATTTTCTTAATATTGACACAGTAAGAAGTTAGCCACGCAATCTATGATTTTTACTTTCTTCCTTGCATGGTCTCACCACCTGAATCTGCTTCCTCGCCAGCAAAAGCTGTTGCCCTTAACTGAGGAACTCCTCACTTTCAAATGCAGAAATACCTTAGTAGCCTTTCATGAAACATTTGGTTGCTTTTATGAAGGCTAAAGTTTGAATGTGACCTCAAGATTAAAGAAAACAGTTCACCTGAGTTTCAGAAACAGGTGCAAAAGGATTTGTTGGCCTTAGACCAGGCTGTGTATACATCATTGACTGGGGTGCCATCAAAGGAGCAGCTCCAATCTGAGGAGGTACCTGTTAGTAAAACAAAAATCCCACAGAACAGGTATATAAAACTCAAACTAATTCTAGAAGATACATATTTTTGCATTTTAAGTATAGTAGAAAATAAGCATAAAGACACACAAGCACGTGTAGTAGAGTCAAAGCTGTTAAAAAAACTTGCTGTATAAAATTTAGAGCAACCTCTTCCAAGGCAGGGTGTGAAAAAGCTATAAGGTTTCACACACGATTGACCTTATGAAACAACACATATAAGCTGCAGGATGATCTGGGCATAATAATGCCTGCCAGGAAACCCACTGGAGGAGACAACTGGGGTTTTCAGGAATACAAGACAATCGCATTTCTTACCATTCCATATATAGGCACTTGAGGTGTGGTCAATGGGTATGCAATAGGAGCAGGTACCTTCAATCAAGAAAATTTTAACGTATTTTAGATAAGCACATGCATACTAGTAATTTATATAAAACTGTGAAAAATACATATTTTTCAATACTTAAAATAACCAACGTATTTACAAGAAATCGACTTACATATCCAGGATAGTGTACTCCATTCTGGCACAGCAAAAGGAGTAAGGACAAAAAATTATTTAAGAGGTATTCAAACCAGAAAGTCTAACCCAGGGATGGATTCAAGTCCAGTACCATACCTGTCTGTAACTATGCTCAACTCATTTATTAAAACAATTGAAGCAGGAGGAAAAAAGTGCAAGGACAGCAACATCAGTAACGATGCCTGTTAACTTGGATAGACTCCCTGCCTAGAAAGCTATCACTAGTAACTTGCAGCAAAAATAGAAATTTTACTAAAATACTAGATTTGAGTATACTGCTTGCAGAAACACTTGTGTGAGAAGCTTTTAGGGGGCATGGCATGCAATATTCCTTCCTCCTCGCATTATGTGTGAGGACGGCATAGAAAAAAAACAAGGAAGCATTCAGCTTAAAACAAGTGACCATTCAGCTTAAGAAACAAATAGCAATAGATGTTTAGTCAGGTAAATGTTGCTCACATACTAATTTCTGATGTCTGCAACATATCACAATATGGAAAAAGAAAAATGAAGAGCATCTTAAGCTGGTAATAACTTATATCAGGTTATGTTCATAGCCACAGTGATGCATGCACTACATATTGCCATGCATTGTTAAAGCAGGGCTAATTATATTAAAAATGGAGTGCTAGTTAAAATACTTCACTATGAAAGAGTATGCAGACTATACGTGAACCGGAGGGTTAACACTCTGAATGCCACAGACCAAGCCAGGACAGTTAGACCTTTCCAATACTGGGGCACTGATTTTAAAGATGCTCACAACCGAGCTAGTTCTTTGCATCATTAATTGCTGGAATCCCAAGCAAATGAGTGAGCGGATACCTGGCATGAAGCACTCAAATGCTTAGACCAGAAAGCATTAAACATGAACACACGAAATAAAAAACAGACAACCCAAATCCACAGTGATCAATGTGTGCTGAGGTGCCCTCTGTCTTTCAAAAATGAGAATGCATCAGCACTCTAACATAACATGTTCTAGAGCACCAAGAGGGGATAAAAAGATTTAATGGTCTCAGAAGTCTCACATAAAAGTGCTATACAACTAAGACATCCTCTCATCTGAATTTTTGAGTTTCATTTTTGAGTCCGATACTGAATTTAATATTCTAGTCAACTTTGACAATCCTGAATGAGGATACTCACGGAAGATGAGGAAAATACGCATTACAGGCAAAACTATTCTTATTGGAAAATAAAGTCAGACAGCAGTCCAAAATTCATAGCAAATATGGTAATTACCCTAGTTGTACACATAACAGAGATGAACATTCTACTTCCCTCCAAGGTGGCTGTATTTCCGAAGCGGTTTGTATTTGTATGAATATATATGAATAGAAGATACTTGAAACATCTCTTTTAAAAGCATAGGAAAAGACAGTCACCTACAAATATCCCTCCAAAAAATGAAAATTCTTCATCTAAATAACTATAGAACTTCCACTTCGTATTTTGTACTGTGTTAAAAATATGAGGTTGCTGTTGAGCATTATCAAAAGCCCAAAGTGCTCCTTGACCTGATAATTAAGGTGCCTTGCAGGGGTTGCAGCAGCATTTCATGTGATAAAACTGAAAAAAAAATGGAAGGAACAGCAGTTTTGCCCTTGAAACACATTCTTAGGATTCTTAAAGGCGCATGTGCGTGTGCAGGGCAGGGGGTGTGGGTGGCTGGGAGCACCTCAAACATGCGCATCAGAAATTTTCTGGTTTGGGGTCATTTGTTTCAATGCAAAAAACTTACGAACTGAGACAATGGCTCAAGTGAAAAGCTGATTATTTAAGTCTTTAATGGACAAGTTTTACAGTGAGGGGAAATAAAGCATACTAAAAATCTCTACCTCATTCAGTTTGAGAAGTGATCCTACAAGCATTCCCCCCTGCCCCTCAGTCTTGCCCCAAACAGCCTTTGCTATTCTTTAAGTTAATTCAAGCAGGGAAGTAGCATTTGCTAGCAAGAACCGTGATTTCAATAGTACAAAAATTACCATATGTGGAATAGTGGGTAAAGGAGTAGGGTTCCATGTGGTCGATGTGCTTGTTTTTGCTTGCCAGTTTGTTCCACCAGTAAGTTTCTTCTCTGTAGGCTGGGTCCACTGCATATCTGATCTAAAATGAAACTGTGGCATTAGTTTTCACAGAGAGACAACAACTAGAGTAACAACAACTAATGGACAACCAAAACATGCCTTAATACATGTACACAGCTGAAATCTATGAGTGGAAGAAACACTCAGGATTTCAGTAACTACTTTTATATCTCTGTTCCAGTAAGTATGAAGTCTGGGAGTTCTGTTTTGTGTTAAAAGTAAATTATCATTACTGCACTGTACAGCATAATGATTAAATGGAGTTTTATGTAATTGCAAGATCTTTTATGGTGCTCCATAAAAATACTTAAATACAGCAATTGCAAAACTGAAGTGAATTACTTCCAAAGTTAAGGTCAATCATATCACGGTGACTGACCACAAACTCACTTGGTAGCAGATTAGTTTCAAGAGTTGAGACTCTTGCGATCTTATTGCTGGTAAACTGTGCCAGAGACTACCAAACAGTCACGTAAGAATATTGTAAGTACATATATGCACTTACTTTTTGGATGGAGTTCCTCCAAAGCCGAGATCTGGTGGGAAAGAGAAACAGACAAAATCCCTAAGTCTTTTTAATTTGGGGGGGGGGAAACTTGATTTATTTTTAGTAACAAATGGGAAAGTTAAATTTAAAAGCTTCACACTTACTTCCCACTAGATTAGCAAGTGAAGAATCAAGGTCATTTGCCAAAATTTTTCCACTTTGCTGGTTGGCTGAAGTGGTTCTTTGACTTTGTGGTGGTACCGTGGGTTGCAATACATCATCTAGAAAGTTAAAAGCTAAACAAAGAACATAAAAGCAACTGTTAATAAAACGGTTACACTGCATTTAATAGAATACATCCATAAGCCAGCGAGGTATTTTCTTTATAGAACACTAAGTAGTTTGAGTATTTATATATGGAGGTTCAGCATGCTGGAATTGTTTAAGGCTTAGACAGAAGCACAGTTTAACCTCTTATTTTTTTATGGAATACTATATTGTAGCTACTAATCTAGTAGAATCTTTAATTTTACTTTAGCAGTAGCTCATAGTATTTTTAACTGAAGATGAATCTCCCCCAAAACTGAAGAAAGAAGGTTGTTAAAGATAGCTTCAAAGTGTTCTTGTGACACAATACAGCAGTAATTTCACGATACTGCTAGTGTCCTGAATGTACACAAGAGTTCCGCTGCTCTATGTTCATAAGGACTTTGAATATATAGCAAAATAGCACCAAGAGAAAGATCGTAACTCAGCTATTCTTCAAGCAACATACACGCAACTAGTTTTGCATTTTTGGAAGCACAATGCCTCTCACTGAAGTCAGAGGGAATTCATTATCACATATCAAGAGAAAACACTGAGAACAGATTTAACATAAGCTTACCCGTTAAGAGATATCCAGTGGGACACGTTCAAAGTTCATTCCCCCAAAAAGAGAGGAAACCATTATTAAACAGTATATGAGATTAGTCAAAGCTAATTTTAAAGTAAATAACTACAATTGAACTGATTGCCTGTTATCTTATTAGCCCTATAATCAGCTCGCAAAGGTATTAAGCTATTAAATTTTGAACTGCAATAGCAATTATGCTAAATTATTAAGTGACTGTTGCCTGTAGGGTGTAAATTAGTCATAAGCTAGTTTTTACCACTTGTAGCCTTGTACTCTGGTGCTGTAGATTTTCCTCCAAAAACAGCATCAAAGTCCACATTAATCGTTGAAGAGGTGGTACTTGGAGGAGCTGAATGAAGAGGAAAACCTGAAAAAAAAGTTTAGAGTAATCAAATACACCTAGGCAGTAATACCGCTCATTACAGTGAAACCAGAAAGTTTTTTTAAAAAAAAAAAAATCAAATTACCATCAACAGTCAGAGGATGATACACAGAAGCATATGTAGGTTTATGACCACTAAAGTCATCTTCGTAATAAGAAAGAAGAAAATAAGGTCAGTTTAAAAGAGAAAAAGGAAGAAGGGACCCAAAAATTAAGTCTGCAGTTAAAAATCAAGAATTTTTAGTAATAAAAAAGGATTTTTTTATTTAACAAATTTGAAAAGCTTAAGTAACTCCTGCATTCCCCATTACAAAAGAGAAAGGAGGTTGCAGTTTGAAAGAAATCGGCAAAAATTCCAGCAACATTGCTAGTCTTAGGATGTCTAGCTTGGGCAAGCTGAACGAAATAATGAGCTATTTCAACTGTAGAAATGAAACTTTAAGGAGACCTATCATTTACTACATCTGAAATGAATGCAACATTTTCACTTGTTAATAAAAAGTGAAGATTGGTTCAAACCACAAAAAGATTACACAGCCCAGTTTATTAGCATTATTATCTCCAGGTGCAAAGAAATTACATGGGTATTGTTTGGGTTTTTTACCACTAAACAGTTCCACCGTTTGTTTGGAGGAAAAAGTAGAATTGATGAAAGGGGTGGTAGATTTTACAGCTTCTTCAACTGGCTTCATGTCAAAGATGTCCAGATGAGGTGGAGAACCAACACAACCATTTGAGGACGAGAAAGGACCTTTCAGATGCAGAAGTGAAGGAAAGAATACAGAGTACAAATAATGGAAAAGAAAAACAGACTGAAATGACTGAATATGAGAATCTCTAGACAAAGTCAAACTGTAAATATTCCACCTAGTGATCAGCCCATTAAAGATACAAATTCTTAGTTTCAGATAAAAATCCTAACAGCTCTCTTTATTTAGGGAAAATAACTCTAGTATTGCCATTGGGTGGGAGGGGAAGAACGACAGAACATCAATCAATCAAAAAAGTTAGATACTACATTTTTGGCTTCAAGAATCTACCTTTTAAATAGCACATAAAGGTATCAATTCTCCCTATTAAAATACCAACACTTACAATGGTGTTAACATTGCCGTATTTCAGCATTTAAGACATTTCTTTGACATCTATCCTGATTATTCTTTGGAGGGGGATGGGTGAGGGTACAGAGAATGCTGTGCCCAAGAAACTGGGAATAACAGCTTTGTTATAAGAACTCTGAAGTTACCCACACCTTGTAAATGAAAAGTATATTAAATATCACTTAATGGAATGGAAATACTAGTCCAGCATCTTTTCAGTTACATCTGCTTAGTTTATATTCCCCAGCATTTTTAAACTTTGATTTTTAGTTACATTTCTTCTACCTGTCCCCTTTATTGAATAGCTCCTTCATTCCATCTACTGTACATTGACACTACTGCTATGTGTTAAAAAAAAGTAACTTTTCTGTAACAGTTTGCTACAGCTTTCAGATGACTTATTTTATATTCTGTCAAGGATAGAAATGTTTGGATGCAAAGTAATTAAGGTTTAAGATGTAGATTCAATTAAGTATGAATCTGTAATTTATTCTAGTATTCCAAGAATTCACCTATCATTTAGACAGTCAAATCATCGTATCAGCTCACCTCCCCAAGCACTGCTTGCTGATGTTGATATAGCTGGAGTGCTCTGCACAGTTGGAACAAATGCAGGCTGAAGATCAAAAAGGTCACTAGAAAGGTTGGGCATGCTGAATAAGGAGAGAGAGAGAGAGAGAGAGAAACATGAAGATAACGTAATAGGCATTGTATTCTTGTGTTATACCAATCTCACTTTCTCTTGTTCACTAGTAGCCCAACAATAATAGTGGCACAACACAAAACTAGTAATTAAGCACTTCTTATTGACTGATATCAAAATTCCTGTGAATACAACAGGAAAGCATCAGCAAAAGTTTATTCCTGAAAAGTACTTGAGAAGTAACTAGGATCAGTGCTTTGCAGTTCATTGTGGAGCTACAGGCCAAGGCAGTAATTTCTGCTTGCTTCAGAAAGCAAAGTATGTCTCACCTATTCGTTGTGGGTGCTGGTACTGCAAAGAGGTCAACAGCTACAGTGGTATTCACACTTTTTCCTGATAAGGTGCTTGGGGATGCTGATGTGGAAGTGGAATTTGATACTACAGAAATCTCTCTTAATCGCTGCTCCTGAAAGATGAGATGTAATTTGCATTTTAGTTTTATTAATTTATTAACCCTTCAGTCCTGCAGACTTTTTCCAAGGAGAAATTTTAATTATGGTCTTAATAAATAAAACAGTTATTCTTCTGTAAAGTCCTGAACACAGCAAGATGATTGAAATTAGAGGTAAGAGTATTTGTTTTAACAAAGCCTTTAAAAATCAAGGTGGGACTTGAGGTTTTAAATATTTTTTTAAAACTATCTGTAACTGCCTAGAAGTAAAACACTTGTAGTCAAGCTACACATTATAGGCTCCCCTCATAGTCACTCAGAGAAACAGGTCAATGGGCCTCTGCTCAGGAAGACCTATCTCCCTCTACTGTTAGGATCTCTTCATAGTTCAATTCAGATGTTCAGAACTCAGACTGACAATGTGCATCCTAGTAATATCCACTTGGTGTTGCTTTTAAACTAGCAAAATAAAAATCTAGTTTACATTGTTAATTTTAGGTTTACATCTCTCATTACTTCTAGATACGCCCACTGCACGGATACAGCACAGGTCAAAGCATGGGTACATGTTTTACACTGCTTACATTCCTCAAGGAAAATGCTGAGTGAGCTTTCCAGCCTCCCCTCCCCCACAGTGAAAATTTGGATCAACCAATTTAATTATTCGGTTACAGCAGCTACAAGTCCTATCATAACAGAAGTAGGACAGCGAAGAGGGGAGACATTTGATGCAACTCCTGAAAACGGGAAAAAAAAAACCACAACAACCCCAACCAAAAAAACCCCAAACATCATCACAACACTTGCTGAGATTCAAGTGAAATAGTTCAGCAGCAGGCAGCAAAGCACACTAAGATTGTAGTCTAACAGTAAAAAAGCCTGCTTCACATTGATTTGAAAAATATGCCTTACACCAAGTCAGGAAAGTAGAGAATTTCAATAAACCTCTATAACTCCAGAGATGAAACTCAACTCTGCGTTACCGTCAAAGTTTACTTTCACACTCCAAATAGTTTTAAGGCTCTCATAATGTGGCCTCCAGATGACATGAGCAGAGTTGCTTCATCATTTAGGTGTGCCTAGACACGTTAAAGCAACACAAGAAAAATTCCCAGCCTCCCCACCTGCGTGTGCCCGGGACGTGACAGAACTACAGACTTAGCTTTCACCAAGAGAAGCATCTTGCTTTGTTCAAGATGTTATGCTGTGTACGTTCTCAGGAAACGGTGTTATAAACAGGTTAAAGGACCTGAAGGACCAGGATTCGGGCCTTAAGAGAGGGACGTTACTAAGAGGACTACTCAACAAGTATCAATGAGCAAAAGAAAGCGCATTAAGGAACCAAGAGAGAAAACACTGATTTTCGTTCAAATGTGTTACTATTCAACGTCCATAAATTACACCTAAATACATACGATTTCAAACAGTTTTTCCAACTAAATTATAGAATTATAAATAAGAGCAGTTAAATGTGGACAGAACTGTAGTGTATATTCTCATTACGAGCAACATGACTGAAAAAAATCACACTAAAGCCATATTCCATACATCATGGGGAATAATGATTCCCTCCTACCAATAATCGGTCCTACAATAGCAATGCTGTATGTTCAGCTGCTGAGATGTAACCTAGAAACGTTGTATACTCATTTTGTGAATCTTTGCGATAAATAACAATCTCTTGTAAGGAAGAATATTGATGATTTTATCAGCTGTCTGTTATTCAAATCATTCCGGTAGAAGGGTCACCACATATTGGCAGCCATCACACCTGCATCCTACCGAATCACGCCTTGCCTCTCTTAAGATGACAGTTCCCACACCATACACTATTTTAAGCCAATCCTGGTTTTCACCTGTACCCAGTTGAAAAAATCTCAGCATACAAACTTGTAAAAACTACAGTACCTTAAGCGCCTGCAGTCTAGCTTGTTCCTCCTCCAATGCCTGCTGCTTTTCTTTCTCATCCATCCTGCTAAATGACATTCCTGTATTGGCAAGTGTGGAAACAGCACTGGATAGGGCACTGGCTCTAAAAACAGTAATAATTTTAAAAAGTTTTATTAAGAAAAACAGTCAGGTATACATCACTTAGTTTAATCATCAAGTGCCTCGCCTAGTTGTGTGTCATTCCCCCTCCACTCCAGTCTTTTCTTCCCTTTCTCTCTGGTACAGAAAAGCAGACAACCCAATAACAAGGGAATTTGGTGAAAAAGCAGCATGAGTACACAGGACTACTCCCTCAAGTTTCAGCAAGTAGGAAACGGAAAGTGCAGAACATACCAGTTGTCTTTTTCTTTAAGGTCATATAGACTAGACTGGAATTCTATTCCATTCAAGTGGCAGAGGCACAGAAAGCTTGTTTGTGCATATCATACATATAACAGAAAAAGCACAGAAGTTATTCCCTTTATAGTATACTTTTTAGCAGAATACTATGGTAGTGAATCCTCAGATACTTGCAAAAAAAAAAAAACCCAAACAAAAAAAAACCTGAGGAGCAAGACAGCAGCTCAGGAACATAGCATACACTGATACATTTATCAATATTTACAAAAATTTCTGGGGAGAATGCCTATGCCAAAAGAGAGATCTCACTTTTCAGTCAGAAGTACTGTTTATACATATCAATACCGTACTTGACAGAAAGAATAACACAATTCCTGTCAGCACAAAGCATCTAAGCTAATTTGGCCATTCTGAGCCAGGACTGAAGAACTTTTATGAGCAGGTTAAGATAAATTCATGGTCTGAGAGGTAGATAATTCACAATAAAGATAAATACCATCCTATCCTGGGTAAAGAGAGCCTCAAAAACCAAATACCTTAGAAGTCTTACAAGCCAAGGGACTTCCAACAAGTAAAAGCTAAAGAAATAATATACAAGGTCTCAGCTCAGTGGTTTATTACAGCATAATAAGAAGTCTGTCAGAGACACAGGCAGACACACTTAGATTTCAAATGTGACTAAGCTATCAGACTACTACTTACGAGATGCTTCATTTATGCTTCTAGGAAGATACACTTGGAAGTGAGTAAAACTCAAGGAGAACACCAAATGACTGAATCCTGAAAATTCTTAGTATGAAGATGACAAATCCTAAGTATAGGCATCGTTGTAATCCATTGGGTGCTCACCTGCTGGCAGCGGAGACTTCTTTTGTTTTCTTTCCCTCCACAGAAGCCAAATGCTGTTCCAGTGCTTCAAGCAAGCTGCTGGGTGCCTAAAGTTAAAGTATTTATAAAACACTGCTTCTAGACAACACGTCATTGTTTAGTACACAGATTAGTTTCCTCATCCACTAAAACACAAACAAAACCCCACGCATCAGTAATTGTGCCTTTGGGCTTTGCTGCCATCCTGCACACCTGGATTCTATCTACCCAGCTGTGGCTCTTTAAGAGGAGCAGCACCACAGAGACACGAAGTAAGGATTCCCCCAGAGTAGGTCTGCTTCTGTGTATGCAAGCTGCACTCCTGGTTTTGGCAACAGTATTTGCTATGTTAAGATTGGTCCAATAATCACAGCTGATTAAGCAGTACTCCCTTAAACTTGCAGAAGTACCAAAATGAAGCCTTGGCATTTTTGATCCCCTTTCCCCCCTAGCAAAAAAAACCCAATCATTTTCCATCCAAATATTTACAGTCAAAGGCTTGCATTAGAGACACTTGACTACAGCAGAATGTTAGGTTTGATTAAAAAAAACCAATCAAATTCAACCTGATCCCAACAACACTATTGCAGACTGAGTAGCTATTCAACACATGACTACACAATAAAACAATTTAATTACTCCAAAGCCTTTGGTAGCCTAAAACATTAGAAACTAGCAACATCACTTCCAACAAAGTTGTTTTTTGGCAGATTCCCCCTTCCCCCGCCCAAGAAAAGTGTTACCCATGAGAAGTTTTTAAACATTAAGCTGTTTTTAACACAGTGAAGAAGATTCCAAAAAACAGGCTTCTCGCCACCGAAATCCAGCAGGAAGTCAGGCACTAGACACCTCAGCTAAGACCTGAGACACTTAAATGAGTTTCAAGTGACCAACACTCATAAGCTTACGAAGACTTCTGAGAGCACAGCCGTGACATCATTCAGTACCAGAGGCAAAGATTTTAACTGATAAGTAAGAGAAAAGAGCAAGTTTAAACTATGCAGACTAAGGCACACCAGAGCTGCTTTGGTTCCTCCAGAAAACAAGAAAGAAGTGCCCATCATAATCTGCCTTCTTTCTGCCATGTACTTGTACCCACTACAGAAATATTTTTCCATACCAAAGGGAACAGCTTCAAAGCTCAGAATAAATTTGAACTCAATCTTGATTACGCAGTCTTAGTAGCAAGTAAGGTTTCTCCAAATCACCCTATAAGAAAACCTCCATCAAGCACAATAATTAGGCTGGCACTTTTCCTTGGAAAAGTTCACTGCCTTGCTATTCTACCCACATTGCTCCTGTGGCTTTTAACTACACAGTCCATACTCCATAAAACAAGTGAAATAAATCCTACTGCAGATTCAGATGAAGGGAATAGACCTCTAAAGTTTTAATCTACTTGCCAGCTCAGTCCTCCTCATCTGGCAGGGTTTCGGAGACATTCAGCCTCTCTTACCACTTGCCAACTTTCAGCAGGTGGAACAGATATGATAGGCATTGTCTGGAAGAAAAACAAGCTTGCCCTTGCTAGCCCTTCTGTACCAAAAGCTAGACCACAGTATTTCCTGGAAAGACGAAAAATATTAAATCACACAAGGCTTTGGCAAGCTCCCCTCTGAAACACTGAGCACAATTCTAGCTTCCCACATTCAGTGAAGGCCAATTCAAGCTACAAGATATGCAAAGAAAAGCAATTAGAATAATCCTATAAAACTGCTTGTCTTAAGGCCTGAGTTGGCATTTCTTTCTATAAATAGAGCTACGTAAGCTAAGACAGTGTAGTTACCTCAACGACCGGTCCTGAATAAATTCAGCGTTCAAACTACACAGCTAAACCCCAAGGGGGAACATTTTGAAATACCCTCCCGGAAAGGTATCAGGGACCAAAACAAAAAACCCCATACTTTTACTTCTCAGGAGGAACAATATTTTGCAAAAGGCATTGCATGACACAGCTAGATAGATAATAGCAGGAGACTATACCCCAATTCCAGAAAGTTTTTCCTAGTCTTTATTTTTTTTTCCCAAGGCCACTCTAAAACCTATCTGTATGGAAAAGCATATTCTATACCTGTTGTTTCCAAAACCCTCCAAACAACCCCCTCAACCATAAAACCTAAAACCAACAAACCAGTAACTCCTCTGAGCTTTCTCATTGCTGCAGACATCCAACAAAACATCAGAGATGAAACTTTGAGTGAACAGATCTTCATAGTTTTATGTCAGAAAAGATGCCTGGGCTAATACAGACATTATGACTTGAAAAAGGCTGTATTTTCTGACTCAGCCTCCCTCCCCCCGCCCCAGACATCTGACAGACTAACATCCATACAGAGGAAAATGACCCAGTTGCATTCAGGAAATACAGTAACAGCTATAACAGAAAGTAAGCAACATCATTCTGAAACAGGGCCCCTACAAAGGAAACTATTTTCTTTATAGGAACTGGCAAAAGTGGCAGTAGTGCGAACATTAGAATCCAGGAAGAAAAACACTTATACAGCA